AGACCAATTTAAAAACTGGACCCAAAAATTAAAAATCTAAATACACGGTTAGATTTGGCATATCAAAGAACCCCAATAATTCAATTTTTGATGAAATAAAACAAAGTTTAATTTTGGACCCTTTTGACCTCAATATGAACCAATTTGATAGTGGGGCCCACAAATAAAAAATCTCAAAACATGGTTAGATTCAGCATATCAAAGAACCCCCATATATTCAATTTTTGTTGAAATCAAACAAAGTTTAATTTTGGACCCCAATTTGGACCAACTTGAAAACTGGGCCCGAAATCAAAAATCTAAATACATGTTTAGATTCAGCATATCAAAGAACCCCATATATTCAATTTTTGTTAAAATCAAACTAAGTTTAATTTTGGACCCTTTGGACCTTAATGTAGACCAATTTGAAAACTGGACCCAAAATTAAAAATCTAAATACATGGTCAGATTTGGCATAACAAATAAATAAATGTGGTCAAAGATTTTACAAATCTAATGCACCATACTGTGCAATTAAAGGTTACTTCTTTAAAATTTTTCAATATTTGAAATTTGAAAAAAAAAAAATATTTGAAGAATAATTCTTTTTAATTTCTGAAAACTGAAAAGAGAAAAAATTGACCCCCCACAATTTCTTTTTATGGATTTTTTTGTAAAAAAAAAAAAGATGCAACATTTGCAGATATTTTTACTGGTCTTCCTTTATAAATATGCATTTCTTTAAACATAATTTAAAAGCAGTGTAAGGGAAGTAATCAAAACGTTGTATGTGGATTACCTCCCTTACACTGTTTTAAATTGTCTTAATTGTTCATTAACCATTACTTTATACATAATTTAAAAGCAGTGTAAGGGAGGTAATTCAAATGATGTATTTGATTTATCTCCCTTACACTGCTTTAAATTATGTTTTGTACTAAAGTATTTGTCCATATAAAAATGCTTGTTTTTTGTGCCCCTTTTTGGCCCCTAATTCCTAAAATTTTGAGGCAATTACCCCCAAAATCAATCCCAGCATTCCCTTTGTGATATGGAACCTTGTGGTACAATGTCAGAGATATCCATACACTAACACACAAGTTATGTCTGGAAGTTAAAAAAAATGCTTATTTTTGGCCCCTTTTTAGCCCCTTATTCCTTAACTATTGGTACAATAACCCCCAAAATCAATCCCAACCTTCCTTTTGTGGTATTGAACCTTATGGTAAAATTTCATAGAGATCCATTCACTTAAACTAAAGTTAGAGTGCGAAAACCACTGTGTCTTCGGATGACGACGACGCCAACGTCTTACCAATATACGATCGCAAAATTTTTTTGTGGTCGTATAAAAATTACAGACAACAACAATGATAATTATAATTGTAAAAGAGGAGGTGTTATTTTCCCCTGTATTTGTTTCACTTACATGGTAAACATGTAAAAAAAATGTCAAATCCTACTGGTACCTGGAAATTAGACAATCTATATCATAAACCTTAAAATATCAATTTTACAATTTTAAATGTTTCCGTCAAATAAAAATGCAACTCAGTGCTGTGTATGTCATTTTGATACACAATTAAGTATTTTACATGTTTTTGTGAAATTTTGTATAGAAAACCGTCGCTCAAACTTAATTAATTTGCATCACAAATACTATACATTGCTTTACCATGTTTACTTCAAACCAATTTTTTGGTTTTCTTACCGATGCCTCATTTTTCTACTAAAACGCAGGTAATGGGGTAAACGCGTTGTATACAGCATTGTATATGTATCAATACGTATGTTGACGTTTTTGAGTCGTTAGGTTTATGTCTCAGACAGATTATGTTTATCTGACTATGAAATTTCTGATTCACGCTTGTTATTTAAAACTGCAATTTCACACTTTGCATACATAATAAAGAAGTACTGCTGATAACGATTTAACGTTTATCGTGAAAAAAAAATCCTCCTAAAATAAGGATAAAAATAATTGTTTTACAAAAACTAAAATCACCCATGATTCTTTTTATGCCTTTAAAGAATATTATGTGTATGCATGTTTATTATTGTAGAAAGTATGTTACCCCCCAGGTGACTATTTTAATTTTGTTGTTTGGTTGCTGTTTCATTTACGTATACCCAAAATCTCTGTAAACAAATTTTATTTCATATAGGTATTAACAAAAAAAGAGCAGATGCCGTTTCACCACAGGATGAAGACACTTTATGGCGTAAAGGAGTAATAAGCTTAGATTCTGCAGAGGGCTTAAGCTATGGCGTATTTTATTATAACTGTAAACTGTTTGGTTTTCGTGGCATGGATGAACATCGAGACCTTAATGCTACACAATTTGAAGTAGTAACAGATTCCGTTCAAAAGAAAAAATGCCTAACATTCTATGGCCGTGTTAGTAAAAAAAATCAGGGAGGGTTTTTTCATAGAAAGATAGAACCAAAAAAAGTAATGCAGTGGGAAGACAAAAATAACCCTCGGGATATTGTAAGTTTGTTTTCAACCTATCTTTCTCTTATCCCTAAGGCAGGTCCATTTTACTGTAGACCTGTTGGAAAGCTAGGATTAAAAACCTCTGGAAAACCCAAGTTCTCTGCACAAGTTGTTGGTGTTAACAAACTTTCCACATATATAAAAACCATGTTTGATTTAGCAGGTATAGACCACACTGACCGTAATATCTCAAACCACGCTGGTAAGGTAACTTGTGTCACAACTTTATACGACAAGGGTTTTGACAATGCCACGGTAATGTCAAGAAGTGGCCATAGAAGTAATGCTGTTGAAACTTACAAAAGACAGAGTGCAGAAATGAATGATAGAATAAGCAAATCTTTACAGCCACCTTTACCTCGCAGTGAAGTGAAGGTTGAAGAAAATAAGGAGAACGAACAATCCTGTGTTAATACGAATGTAGCTCCTATAACAGAAACAGAAACTCTTTGGCAATTTATTTTGTAATTAAAATATTGAGTGGCTTCGAAAGAGGACATTAACTTATTTCTAGACTATTAGAGTATTATGATAGAAAATATAAATTAAAGGTCTTTTTTTTTTGTTTGGCACTTTCAGAAGTCCCCCTCCCCTTTTTCTCAAACGCATCAAAACTGTCCATAATAATGGCAAAGTCATGTCTCTTGAGTTGTAAATTTACGTTAAATATAGTTTCTGGTCATTGTGTTGTCGGTCGTGTGATGTTTTTTCCATAAATGCATATATATAGACATCAAGAAGATTAAGTACGGATGTAGTACATGTGCCTTTTGTTTATTTATTAAATATGTATTAAAACTTAAGCCAATATAAATCTTTCTTTTCTTCAATTATGTTAATTTATCAAACTATAGATACATACAGTTAATGTGATCCATGATTCAAATTCTTTTGTATGTTTTAGCAAGGAATTTGGCCTTTTTCGTTATTGTATTTTATATCCATGAATTAATGACAACTCATGCAATAAAATTTTAATTCTTAGCTTAATTGTACACACTGAATTGATGACCACACCTATAAGATTACATTGTATTGTAATAAGGTATTTCATCTCCCCCTTTTTTATACATTTAGATTAAAATTTATATTTACATAACTAATAATTGAGCATAGTGACACTTATTCGCAGAAAGAAAAAAAAAGAAATCGAAATCATATCTTTAAATATTCCCACAAAAGATGAAATGTGAGACATTGAATTCCTTCCAAAATGCCCAAGGCTGTTATTGTTCTACAAACAATTCCTTAATTACAATACAATATAATATGGCTATCGTTGTCATTCATGCATAGTAACTTAGTACACGGAAAAAGTATGTACTATGAAACTTAGAAGGCAAATTCAAGCAATTTGATTGGACGAGAAGTTGTTAATATGTGCTAATAATTTATGACATTCTTTTACCTAAGATTATCTTTGATCACTATGATAAATAATTAGTGCTTACCTTGTTATACTTAATGATTTGAAAAATTATTTCAAATGTTTGAAAAACAATTAACTGTGATCATACATTTAAGAGCTTGGTTGTGCATTAAGAAGGGATTAAGACTTAGTGATCAACTCAAAACTACTCAATCAGTGTCTTTAATCTTTTTGTATTTTATTTTGTAGAAAAATGTTGAAATAAAAGAAAATAAAAAGAAATCCAAATTTTCTTTAATCTCTTTAAATGAAAATGAACAATTTTATCAACTTTAAATAACGCTAAGATCTATTGAAAATTACTTTCTTGGCTAAAAACCACAGGAATAAATTATAACTGTACAAAGAAATCAATAAGAGACGAAAAATCATACAATTTTATTATAATAATAAAAGAACATTAAATACAGATACATCGATCTCATGACCAGAATATCGATCTATCCATATTCATCTGGATTTATTTTAGCCTTACCAAGCTAAGCAAGAGTTGTGTACATTGGTCTGTCAAACTTCCAGTATTTGTTTGAGTCGAACTACGGGTATCTTGAAATATTTCTCTGGTCAGGTTGACTTCGAGATAATGAGAGTCGACTGCAATTAATATTTCCAAGGGGCATAACTCTTTAAAAATATTAGATCGGCACTGATTTTCGAACTTATCTGAACCATTGCTGATATAAACCTTTGATATAAATTCCATAAAAATCTGGCAAGAATTGTACACATGAGCTCTATCAATGCAAATTTCATATAATTCATATTTAGAAGGGGTATAACTTCTTTAAAAATAATAGGTCGACACTGATTTTCAAACTTGTCAGAGACATTGCTAATATAAACCTATGGTATAAGTTTCATAAAATTTGGCAAGATTTGCACAAATGAGAGCGCTAACTATGAGATTTTTCATATAATAAATATTTCCAAGGGGCACAACTCTTTTGAAAATAGTTGATCAGCACTGATTTTTGAACTTGTCCGAGACATTGCTGATATAAACCTATGATATAAGTTTTATAAAAATCTGGAAAGAATTATACATGTAAGAGCGCTAACAAGACTTAAAAAATTCAAAGTAATCATACTAACACGTTCATATAATGTCCACAACTTTTTAAAGGTTCTGCCATCTCTTTCTCAATACCACTCCACTCACAGAAAACTCTGCCATAGTTGGAATGTACTTTATGTATACCATAAACCTTGTCTGCCATTCTCTATAAAATAGAACATTTATTCAAATCTGCTGGACAACTTAATGTGCCTGTTCCAAGCTAGGAGCACATAGTCAAGTGATTATTCTTTGTTGCCATTTGTCATAATGGTTTTGGTGTAATGTTATTTGTTTAAATCAGGCTAGCTGTTATTGTTCTTTTTTGTATTGTTTCACATTTGTCATCAGGAGATTTTCAAGCTTATCATATACGGACAGGTTTTGCTTATTTTTGACATCTGTACTTCATTCATCTTTTTATGGAAAGTTGGCAATCATAACATATTTCCTTATTGTTATACTACCTAAGAGATGAAATGTAGGGCAAGATGGGTAAGAACAAAACCCCTTTTTTGTAAAAAAAAATTTGTTATCAGTACATTTGTCATGATATTTATCATTTTAAAGAACCAAATGAAAAAATATCTTGCAAATGTTTCATTTAATTCCCTTCTTTGAAAACCCTGATTGTTTGTTTATAGCCATTTGTACGACTTTGCCCCCAGCAGAGCTATAGAAAAACAGTACAATAACGGGTGTTACTTGGACACTTTTTATGAATAGAGTCACTCGTGCATTCAGTGAGTTCACAGGCACTTTATCTTACACCTTGTGACCTAATTACCTTTTTTTTATAATAATAATTATAAAAAAGCTAACTATGTCCCAAAATGCTGAAATTAAATAAACTACGAAGTTACTGACTGCAAGAGTAACTGCAACCATAAAATGTTTCCATGTACAAACCTCTCGTGGGTTTGCTTAGCAGTTAAGCTGAAATCTTTTAAATCGTCTAAATCGAACTATAAGGATGATTTCCCCTTTTCTCTTCATGTTCAAGGTTAGGGGAAATGGGGCAACCCCCCCCACTTTTTAAAATGGGGGATGGAGGAAGCAAAACATAATTCTTTGTTTGGCTTTGTTTGTTTGTACGTATTCATGCTTTTTTTCTTGGTGTGGAGGGGTATATATAAATGCAGGGGCATAGGAGCCGGGAAAGGGGACCCTAACTGCATTACACGCTTGCAAAGGTGAGAGGCAAAACTATAATACCCCCTTTCCCCTCTTTGGCAATTTATTTTGTAATTAAAATATTGAGTGGCTTCGAAAGAGGACATTAACTTATTTCTAGACTATTAGAGTATTATGATAGAAAATATAAATTAAAGGTCTTTTTTTTGTTTGGCACTTTCAGAAGTCCCCCTCCCCTTTTTCTCAACTTTTCAATCTACTCCTACTTCACTGATATGTATCAAAGAAATAAGCAATAATTTTACTCGCAAACAGCTGAAAGAATTAAGAAGCGCTAGTGTTAACGCAAAATCCTTAGTTTACTAAAGACTAAATATCTCCAAACATCGCGGTACATAAACTGGTATGCAAATTTTTTGTGTTCAATCTTTTTAATTATGCAATCGTCTTAAATGCAAGATGTATGACTTTCTAATTGAAAACGTCGTACAAGTCAGATACAAAACAAAAGTAACAAAATAAACGGGATGGTAACAACCAGCCGTATAGTTTTCTGCACTTGTAGTCAGGTCAAGGTCCTCAGTTATCGCCTCGGACTTGACCTGAATACTCATGCAGAAAAACTATACGGCAACAGTTGTTACGGGTCTGTTTTTTTGTTACCTCTGAACTGTATCTAATACATGTTACAACAAGTGAACAAATATACTACTCATACCTGAACATAATTCAAAAGTTATGAAATGAAAAGACACAATATAAAAATTTCAATATATCATAGTTCTATTATTATTCTTGTTGACTTTAGCTATGTTGTTTGGTTGCTGTTTATTTTAAAATAAGTACCTTACATTATGTTTTATTAATATTCATACTTTTGATTTGCTGACAACAATGACATGGCATTCCAAAATTTAATTTTAATTCTCAATAAAATGCACCATTCATGACTGCATGAGCTTCCCATGACATAGTCACAACAATGCATTGGAAAACAAAACCTAAATCTTAATACACATTGTAACTTGTTAGTTTTATTGGGTATAAAAGCTTTGATCGTGCGGACATTTGTAGTATACAGCCCTTCTGCTCTGCATACAAAATGTTCTTTCAGTCAACGCCTTTACATGTATTAAATGTAACTGTCCCATATAAAAGCAGCTTGTGTAATAGTAAGCTACATGCATTATGTACTACACAAGTTAAAGCAAATCAGAACAAAAGAACTTACAGCTCTTATCTTTAGTAGGTTGGCTATATTACTTTCTAATTCATTACTGTAGTTCTTTAGCTCCTCAAATCTCCTGCAAAAAGACAGTTATTTATTAAAATAAAACTAAAGTAAAGTCCCCTTCACAGATCTAGAACATGGAGATAGAATTAAAAAAATTGTTTCTTGTACATTTCCTCTTGCCATTACATACATATTAGGATTACCATTCAGCATGTCCACTTTAGTTTTTTCTTTTAAAAAATAGTTTGATAAAAACATTCTTGGATGGAAAAAAAAACATTTTTTCTATTTAAAGTTATATTAATAGAAAAGAAAACCAAAATGACTCACTTTTCTGGCTTTTTCAATCTGTATGCAGCACTCAATGCCTTTAACCTTGATTCAGACTAAAATATTATAAAATGTAAAAATTAAATATTATGTAAAGGTTCAGCAAAAGTACTAGTACTGATTCCTTAATGATTGGTCAAGCTTATACATGTATATTTCTTAATCAAAAAGAAAAAAAAGCATTTCTCTGATAAAAAGAAAAAAAATCCATTTCTGGAAGAAAGCAATCTATGTTGTACCACTTAGCCCCCAGAGCTATAGAAAAACAGTACATTAACAAGTGTTACACAGACACTTTTTATGAAGTTACACAGACACTTTTTATGCATAGAGTCACTTGTGCATTCAGTCAGTTCATAGGCACTTAATCGTACACCTTGTGACCCAATTACCTGTTTTTATAAAAGTAATTTATTTGAAAAGTTTTCACAAAAATTTGTAAGGGTTCCACGGAACCCAGTGTCTCGCCTACTTTTGCTGTTAATCGCAGACTCAACAAAAATGAGGAAAAAAATCAATAAAAATATTCCTTTAGATACTATCTTTTGATTGTAAGAAGTTTCTGTCAAAGTTTGGTATAAATCCAGGATAGTTTATGAATCTAATAAATGTTTTAAAAACTTTAACTGCAGACTGTATTTAATGTTAACTGGAAGAAAAACTAAGTCCATTTATCATTTTGTTTATAAGAAAAATACGGATAAACAGGTACAAAATTTTAACAAAATTTCCTTCTAGATACTAGCTTTTGATCATAAACAAGCTTCTGTCCAAGTTTGGTACAAATCCAGATAGTTTAAGAAAGTTATTAAAATTTTAAAAACTTTAACCACAGAGTGAATGTAATGTTTCCTGGCAGAAAAACTAAGTCCATTTATAAGTAAAATACAGAAAAAATGAAATTTTTTTTTTAACAAATTTACTTCTGGATACTATCTTATGATCATAAACAAGCTTCTGTCCAAGTTTGGTACAAATCCAGGATAGTTTAAGAAAGTTATTAAAATGTTAAAAACTTTAACCACAGAGTGAATGTAATGTTTCCTGGCAGAAAAACCAAGTCCATTTACAAGTAAAATACGGATAAACAGGAATTTTATTTTTACAAAATTTACTTCTGGATACTATCTTATGATCATAAACAAGCTTCTGTCCAAGTTTGGTAGAAATCCAGGATAGTTTAAGAAAGTTATTAAAATTTCAAAAACTTTAACCACAGAGTGAATATTTGTGGACGCCGCCGACGACGACGGAATGTAGGATCGCTATGTCTCAATTTTTCGACTAAAGTCGAAGGCTCGACAAAAATCATATTTATAAAAAAGCTTATTATGTCAATAAATGCTGAAATTAAATAAAGTGTCTACAAATTTACTGACTGCAAGAGTAACTATTACCATATAATGTTTCCATGTACAAACCTCTTGTCGCTTTGCTTTGCAGTTTAAGCAGGTCGAACAGCAGATGTTCTTAAACCCTGCTGACTGCCATGGCGATTGCCAAAAAAACGGATCACCAGATGTAACAAAATGGATATTAATTATTAATTAAATACCAAACAGAAAACAATAAACTTGCGGAAAAGATGGTATACCGCAAACATTAGGTGCAAAAATTGGTACACCATAAATATATATTCATAACTACTCTAAATACCAGCACAACAATGTTAAATCTGCAAATTTGCTCATGCATGAGTTGAATGCCGGCGAGGGAAGAACAAAAATTTGCTTCCGCAAATTTGCAGATTTAACATTGTTGTGCTGATATTTAGAGTAGTTATGAATATAAAATGTGTTTTCAGCCATGATCACCTTCACTGGTGATCCAATGGATGGATCTGTCGTAGAGTTGTCACTTGTTTAGACGTACTTATATATACATTTTCCAAAAGACCAAAAAAGTGAAGTTAAAACACATTTGACTAGCAGGTCGGACAATTGATGTTCTTAAACCCTGCTGACTTCCATGGGGATTGCCAAATAAACGTATCACCAGATGTAACAAAATGGATCTTAATTATTAATTTAATACCAAACAGAAAACAATAAACTTACGGAAAAGATGGTATACCGCAAACATGAGGTGCAAAAATTGGTACACCATATCCGGATTTCGACAATTAATGTTTCTTCAGTGATGTTAGGAATCGAAACGGTATTTGGAAGGCCATATAATTTACCTCAATTTAGGATTGACTCTTGAATTTTAAATAGTCGAAATAGGATGAACAGATTAAATAAACCCAAAGGCAAATATAATACAAGCCAAAACAAAAAAATATAAACAAGTCTAAATTGAAAACAACGTTCAAACCTATGATTGCGTTGGATAAAAACCGCAATCTTTATACGTGTGCATGCAAAACAAATTTCTTGGTAGACGGGTCTAAATACAGCACAAACAACATTTTCCAAAAGACCAAAAAAGTGAAAAAGTATATTTTAACAAAACGCATTTGACTAGGTGCATAGGAGTCGAGAAAGGGGACAAGATCTGCTCCAAACACTTTCAAGAGTGAGGGGCACTTTTCAATCTACTACTACATCACTGATATGTATCAAAGTAATTATATAATCAATAATGATTTTACTCGGACACAGCTTGAAGAATTGAGAAGCTCTAGTGTTAACGCAAAATCCCAAATTTGATAAAGATTAAATATGTCCAAACATTGTAGTACATAAACCCATAAACCAGTATGGACATTTTTTGTGTTTAATCTTTTTAATCATGCAATCGTCTTCCAAATACAAAATGTATTTCTTTCTCATAAAAAACGTCGTACAAGTCAGATACAAAACATAAGTAACAAAAGAAATGGGTTGATAACATTCAGCCGTATAGTTTTTCTGCACTTGTACCGTTAAAGTCAGGTCAAGGTCCTCGGCTAATGCCTCGGACAATGATCTGACTACTCGTGCAGAAAAACTAAACGACAATGGTTGTTACCAGCCTGTTTTTTTGTTACCTTTGTTCTGTATCTTAATACTTATTTTCATGAATTTAATGAATATTAAAGTCTAACAACTCTGGATGAAATTTTTCCCCAAGGCCATATAGCACCATGGTACCATATGAATAGATTTGATAATAGAATGTATTACAGATGTTGTGCTATATAATTTCATGGTGTCAGTGCTATTTCCAAATACCATAGTGTTATTTGAAAATACTGGTGAGAACACTGGATATACTTGACAAATTTTTATGAGTGAAAATCCCATTCCATTTGATGAATTTTTTTCAGCACTAATCAGGCTGGGACAAATCAATGAAATCAAAGAGCTTGGGAGCTCTGATAGAAAAGACGGCCATTGTTTCTATTTTTTTGGGGGGTATATTATGATAGGCTAGATTTTTCTTCATTAAATTTATTAATCTTATATTATTACCAAATATCAGATTCATTGTAGGTAGGCTGACTGACAATAGAATATAAATGATCTGTTTTCAAAATCTATGGTCTTTATTTGTTTATCAAAAGATATATGTAAAGTGAAGTTGACCACTGGTTTTAATTTCAAAGTCTTCCATACAAAGGATGAGCCCAAGACCAGCTAGAATAATTCACAATATTGAAGTAATTTGTTGTTCATGCAATTTCATTTCCTTTATCAATAATTCATCATGAAGTCAATTTAAACAAATTGAAGAGATCAGCACCTTCTAAATCAAAATATTTAACTACAGGCTTAAACAGTTGATAATTAATAGTTATGCTGGGCATTCATAAATTCATGAATTTGGTAGTATATGCTTTTTATGAATTAATGCCAAGTATTGGCGATATAAATTGAAGAGTATTTCACAAACATGAAAATTGGTAGCAGTGAAAATACTGTCTAGACAACAAGGTTTGATTTAATAATTGTCTTACTGTGACAGCTTTGTGATATAGCAGTTGATGTGACTTGACTTTTCACTACAGATAACCATGATAACTCACTAGCACATGTATCATAGCTATCATATTTATCCAATTTGTGACAGTGATTTACCTGATCATCAGTTTATAAATACAGTGAACAAGAATTGGGAAAATAGTGGTTTCTAAGTCAATCTCACATAAAAATATGTGATTTTAAAAAGGCCCTTGACTCCAGAATGTATATTGATAATATAAAGGGGTGTCTTACTACATGTACTTCTTTATATGGTAAGATTACAAAAAAATTGACCAAAAACAGGCATATATAATTAAATTGCAGTGGGAGCATTACATGTTTTGAAAACATTTTTCCATTTCACAGTAAAACTGTAAAGCTATTATAAATTTTAATAAAATGCTCCGCTGGGGCGCAGCTTGAACGACCGCAGCGGTCGAACCCTGAACAGTTGGGGCAAGTATGGACACAACATTCAAGCTTGATACAGCACTGAATTTGGATTGTAATTAAATATTTGACACAGCATAGGTTTCTGACACAGAATGAAAGTGGTCTAAGAACTTAAAATTTTTTAATTTACCTATTCAAACCATATCATTATTATTTGCTTTTATATATAAATCAGAAATAACCAATTTAAATTGGAAAATTTTAAAGAAAAAAAAAATCCCCCCCAAATTTTTTGAACCCCCTTATGATTCATCACCCCCAAACTCAATCCCAGCCTTCCCTTTGTGGTATGGTACCTTGCAGTACAATTTCAGAGAGATCCATACACTTGAACACAAGTTATTATCCGGTAACTAGAAAAATGCTTATTTTTTGGCCCCTTTTTGGCCCCAAATTCCTAAACGTTTAGGGCAATTACCCCCAAACTCAAACCCAGCTTTCCCTTTGTGATATGGAACCTTGCAGTACAATTTCATAAAGATCCATACACTTACACACAAGTTATTGTCCTGAAACTAGAAAAATGCTTGTTTTTTTTGCCCTTTTATGGCCCCTAATTCTTAAAATTTTGAGGGAATGACCCCCAAAATCAATCCCAGCCTTCCCTTTGTGGTATGGTACCTTGCAGTACAATTTCAGAGAGATCCATACACTTGAACACAAGTTATTGTCTGGAAACTAGAAAAATGATTATTTTTGGCCCCTTTTTGGCCCCT